AACCCCATAGGATAGGGTAACTGCTCTGTGGGTTTACAAAACTAACTCCTACAGGAGCAGAAATCCTCATCTTTCTCTTATGGCGCTTCTGCTCGTTTTGAAATTCTGACCAGCATGTAGCTTGTCTGATTATTTGCTCTGCATACAGATTTCAGTACTTACGGTAGGAGGATACAACCCTGACGCACACCTTTCTTGATTTAAACCATCCAGTATTTCCTTGTTCTGTTCCCACCATTGCCTCTTGATCCATATATAGTTTCTGTATCAGCACAATAAAGTGTTTTGGAATTCCCTTTCTTCTGAAGTTATCCATAGTTTCTTCGATCCACACAGCAAATGCCTTGGCATAGTCAATAAACAAGTAAACATCTTTCTTGATATTCTTTGCTTCCAGCCAAGATCATCTGACATCGGCAGTGACATCCCTTGTTCCACATGCTTTTGTGAATCCAGCCTGAACATTTTATAGCTCTATCGATGTACCGCTGCAGCCATTGTTGGATGATTTTCAGCAAAATTTTACTTCCATGTGATATAAATGATACTGTTCTATGACTTGAGCATTCTGGTGAATCACTTTTCTTTGGAATGGGTACAAATGAGTATCTCTTCTGGTCAGTTGGCCAAGTATCTATTGTCCAAATTTCCAGGCACAGTTGAAAGAGTGCTTCTGGTGCTTGTCACCTTTTGGAAACTTTTTAATTGGTATGCTATCAATTCCGGGAGCCTTGTTTTTGGTTAATGCTTTCACTGCAGCCTGAACTTCCTCCTCCAGTACCATTGATTCTTCATCATACGGTACCTCTTGAAATGGTTAAATGTCGGCAAATTATTTTTGGTACAGTGACTGTGGATTCTTTCTGTCCTCTTTTGATAACTTCCTGCATCAGTCAATATTTTGCCCATAAAATATATCAATATTTCAACTCAAGGCTAGAATTTTTTCTTTAGTTCTTTCAGTTTAGGATATGTTAAGCATGATCTTTCATTTTGGTTTCCTAACTCTGGGACTTTGCACATTTCATTTTAATATTTGACAGTCTTCTGCAGCTGCCCTTTACAATGTTCTGTTCACCTCTTTGACTTCACCGTCTTTTTCCATTTTATTTGCTTTCGCTACTCTGTGATTAAGAGTCAGTTTCAAAGTCTCTTCTGACGCCCACTTTGATCTTTTCTTTCATTCTTTCAAGGTCTGTATGATGCTCTTGGTGTCATTGCACAGCTCATCGGGTCTTGTGTGCTTAGTGTCTAATTAGTTTAATCTATTCTTGAGATGTTCTCAAAATCCATGTGGGATAGACTCAAGGTCTTATTGTAGTTCTCGTGGACTTGTTTACATTTCTTCAGTTTCAACCTGAAATTCATATGAGCACTTGACGGTCTGTTCCACACTCAGCCCCGGCCTCATTTTCTAGCTGCTGATACTGAGTTTCTCTGCCGTCTCGCCCCACAGATTAGGTTAATTCGATTTCTGAGCACTCTGTCTGGAGAAGTCGTCACTGCTCGTGTTGTTGAAAACAGGCATTTGCTCTGAAGAAGTCATTGGCCTTGCAAAGTTCTATCATGTGATCTCCAGCTTCGTTTTATCACCAAGGCCATGTTTTCCAAATACTGTTCCTCTTTGTTCCCAAGTTTTGCATTCCTATCACCAATAATTAATAATGCATCTTGGTGTATAATTGATCAATATCAGACTAAAGACATTGGTAAAATTCTTCATTTCATTACTATTGTGGTTGGCACATAAATTTGAATAGTAGTTGTATTGATTGCATTTCCTTTTATTTTGATGGATATTCTATCACAGATAATGAACATTGTCCTTCAAGTGGATCTTGACATATCCTTTATGATGATAAATGCAACACGCTCCTCTTGCATTTGCCATTCTGGTTTTTTTTTTTTATCATTTTATTAGGGGCTGATACAACTCTTATCACAATCCATCCATACATCAATTGTGTAAAGCACATTTGTACCTCCGTTGCCCTCATCATTCTCAAAACATCTATTCTCCACCCAAGCCCCTGGCATCAGCTCCTCGTTTTCCCCCTCCCTCCCCGCTCCCCCTTCCCTCATGAACCCTTGATAATTTATAAATTATTTTGTCATATCTT